TTCTTTTTTTCTTTTTTTTTTTTTTAATTTTGTTTTCTTTGTTTTTTTTTTTTTTTGTTTGTTTTTCATGACAGGGTTTCCTTGTATAACAATCCTAGCTGTCCTGGAACACGCTCTGTATATCAAGCTGGTCTCAAACTTAGAGATCCACCTGCCTCTGCCTCCTGAGTGCTGGAATTAAAGATGTGAGCCACCAGTATTCAGTTTATCACACTTCTTCTAACCCAGCTCACTATCAAATCCCACGAGTTCTACGGTCCCCCTGCGCACCATAAGCCCCTATCAATCCCACGAGCTCTAGGGTCCCCCTGCGCACCATAAGCCCCTATCAATCCCACGAGCTCTAGGGTCCCCCTGCGCACCATAAGCCCCTATCAATCCCACGAGCTCTAGGGTCCCCCTGCACACCATAAACCCACCTTTTCCTCTCCATCACTGCACCACCCCAGCTCCAGAGCAGCACACTCCACCACTGACCTACTCAGAAGCAACATTGTCCTGCAGGGCCACCTTGCCTCCACTATTGCTCCATTTTCAGTTCAGTCTTCGGGGCTGTAGCCAGAGTAATCTTCAAATCTTCATCCCTAACACTTATTAAAGCCACTCACAACTGACTGGCAAACTCCTGTGTCCCGTCTCCCCTACCCAGCATGCACAGCACCCCCACCCACTCACAGCCACTGCCATCTTTGCTGGGAGGCATCGTCCCGTCAGTTCTCACATTAGCCTCAGAATTTCAGGAGTGGTCTTTGGTGGTTAGGTTTCCAGACCTCAGATGTGAAGAAAGCATCTGGTAGCACCCTCCTTTCCCTACTCCTGAGGACTCTTGTACATGTCCAGGTCTAACTCCAATGGAGTGCAAAGGATTACTTCTGAGCTGGAGCTTCTTGAGGTCATGACTTGGTCTACGGAATGTAATAGAATTTAAATTCTATTTTCTCTCTCCTCCCAAGCTGTTTTGCACAGGACACAATTTGTGCAAGCAAATACATTCCTCAACTTGGTTGTGTCTGTCTCCTTCACAGTGTCTAAAGGGGTAGGTTCCCCAAAGAAGGGTGGTCATGGGTAGGGAGATAGACCAATAAGGGACACCCTCCTGATCCCAAAAGTGGGGTCAAAATTGGCCTCATTCTCTTCAGGTTGATTGTAGAACTATAGTGAGGATCCAAGAAAGAGCAGTAGCTTCGTCAGGAAGAGGCTTCAGCAATTGAGAGCAATGGCAGATGGTCTCAGTTTGAGGGAAGTTCTGAGTAGGGAGCTAAGCTTCAATAGGTGGTAGAGACTGGCAGTGGGTAAAAGGAGAGGATCTGAGGGGGGTCTCACTCCAGAACAAACTGTGCTATTTCCTGTGAAGATTCAGGCTTTCTTTACAGGCTTCCTTCCCTTTACTGTCCTGCCAGAGTCCAGCAAAAACGCAGACAGAAGTCTTAACCCTGATTCTCCAGCAGGTGGCGGCTACGCCCAGGACCTAGTGCATACAGAAGGCTGGGTGCCCGGTCCTCTCTGGTGAAAGTTGCTGCTGCCCCTGGCAGGCTCAGAGAAAAGATTGATGGCCTGGCTGTTGTCGGGGCTAGCCAACAGTGTCATTGATTTTCATTTAAGAGGATAATTAAATATTAATTTTCACTTCGTTAAGTTGAGAAGGGCGAATAAAGCCAATCCTGGCAGTAGCAGAGGAAAGCAGGCCACACGGAAGGTCTGCAGATAGAAGGGTGGGAGGAGGCACAAGTCCTCAACTGCCACACTCTTCAGAAGCTAAGCCGTAAGCTAAGCCCCTTCTGCTACCAAGTTAGCTCACGCGATAGTGGGGCAATTAAAAGACTAGACTGACTGGGCTTGATGACCAGAACTTCTCAAACATGAACTTGGGCAGCTCACTATGAGACTCTCAGTCGCCTCATCGGTGAGTTGGGGGGCGGGGGGGGGGGGACACGCACGGGGCAGGACCCAGTAACGATACCTTCTTTGTATTAAATGACTTGGAACATGTAAAAAGCCATGAATATTGGTGCTGATAACTGCTGCTTACTACTATGCTGCTTTTCTCCCTTAGAATCCTTCCAGTTCTCTCGGGAACACCCATTCTTATAAAACCCGACCGGTACAGTTCATCTCTTCTACAGAAGCTTTTTCTCCCAGGCTCATCTTAATTTTCTCAGGGCTTTCCAGGTAAAGTCCAAATCCCCCACTTGTTTCCCCTTCAACTGCAGCCCTCGGTGGGATCCTGGCCCAGACTCTCTTGAGTCCTCTCCCCCTGCCCCCCACATTGGGCCCATCCACTTCACACCCACCTGTTTCTTCCAGCTCTGAATTTTTACCGCACTGTTTCCTGCATGGGTGCTCCATGCCTGAGCTAGCAGCAGGGACGGTTTGCTCCCACGGTTAGACGAATGATGCTTTCTACGACTGCTCCTACTACTGTTGCTCTTTCAGTTCCTGCTAGTACCAGCACCAGCTAAGCCACGCTGCAGGCTTGCTTTCCGCAGTGCCCTGCGCTTCCCATGACTTAGCCCACTGCCCACACATTCGGTCTGATAGATGAAGAAACTCAGGTTTTATCGTATTTTTGAAACAGTCTCACTATGTAGCCCTGGTTGTCCTGAAATGCACTATATAGATCAGGTTGATCTCAAACTCAAGGAACTCTGCCTGCCTCTGCCTCTGAAAAGCTGGGATTAAAGGTGTGCCCAGAAAAACTCGGGCTTTAAACTTGCCCAGGGTCACAGAATTGTTAAGTGCCTGGAAAGTTCCGATTCATAGAGCAAAGCTGAAATGGGCACCTGTTTCTTATTCTCATTGATCTTGCTCTTGACATCTGGGACCATGTACAGAAAACCAAGACCTTTGTCAGGATCTTAAGGCAAAAGTCATATTTACCGGGACTTTCTTACTCCAGCCAAGGAGTTACATTGTTAGTGCAGCCCACAGGGGCAAAAACTGAAGTATGAGTGGAAGGAGACAGAAACAACGGTGAGATTAAATCTAAGTCTGAAAAATAGGAAACCAAGTATTCCTAATTATCATGTTATGATGTGTTCATATTAAAAGCCCATTAATTCTTTATTTTACCATATATATGTAAATATATATGCAATTCCTTTGAACATATCTCATAATATTTCTGTATGTCTTTGTGCCTTTATTCTATCCTGGTCTCTTTCTAAAAGCCAATAATCTCCTTAAGTCTAAAATGGACATTGTCCCAGACTTTTGCTACTCGTGACATTTGAATATTGCTCTTTTTCTAGACACAACAATCAGATAGGAGAAAATGAGGCTGGGAAGTATGTTTTCCTCTTGACAACCCATGTTAGATCCTAACTGTCACTACTCATGAATGGTTGGTTCTGATTTTCTTTTACCCGTGACCATCTATTAGTTGAGACCAGATCATATAATCCTGGGTGACTATATAACCAAACCAAAAAAAAAAACTGTTTTAACATTAGCCATATTTTGTAATATGGAGAGAAGATGATTTTGGTGAGACAAGGTACTCCAAATGTATTACAGGAAGAAAACCACAGGAAAGCACCATCCAGGACCACAGGATTGGAGAAGACAGGATACTGACTCAGCAGAGTCTCTCCCCTATATTACTAAACACATGCTCACAGCAGTGATAAGTAACCCCTAAAACCATGATTTTAGCCAAAGTGGAAAAATCCTAGCTTAACTCACATCACTGAAGTCTCTTGTAAAAACATAGGTTGGAACACTTGGCTCAAGGGTCTGAGCCCATTTCTTTGAGCCAGAAGACTGAGTGTGACACGGGGCTTGACTTGTTCAAGGAACACATAATCCCTTTCCTGAGTAGATGACCCTGCTTCTAGCTGCTGGTACCAGCTTAACCCTTTATGCTGCTTTGGCATGCACGTGGAGCATTGTCCCAAGCTTGAGGTGATTCCCACCCATCCCACCCTCAACTTTGGTTGACTTACCCCTGGCAGGGTCTTCTGCTCGTGCAGTGCACTCTGGGCCTTGAGAGCAGAATCCCGTGCGCAGTAGGTGAGGAAGGCACAGCCTGGGGAGGAAGAGCCAGGCTCAGGGAGTTTTCTGAAACCCTTCAACATTCTTCTTGGTAAGATCCAAATAAATCAACAAACCAAACCTAGGGTCACTACTCTGTAAGCATGAATACTGCCCTGTGAAGTGTTCTGTGATGGGAGTCTTCACATGCTTGGGGACCTATGTCCCAAGTTCTGGCTTCCTCTCATTTTCTCCTGGCCTTCTGTCCAAGAAATATCTGTACCCATATATCCAGTCTTGTGCTCATTCAATCCCACAGCTTCCCTCCCCAGTCCATCCATATAAGTCCTATCAGGGTTAAACCTCCCTAAGCAGCTTTGCCTTCTTCAATAAAGTACCCCTCCCCCACAACGCCTATCTATTTTAGACATAGACTCATAGTCTCCAAGGGTCGGTCTCAATTCCTTTCCAATCCAGTTCCAAGTGGCAGAAAAAAGAAGAGGGACATGAAGGGTTGAAGGCTAACTACTTCCCAACACTTCCCCTCCTGAAGTTTGAAATTTGGAAATGAATTTGATTTGAGCTTTGTTGAGGCTTCCTGTAAGTAGGAGAAGCCAGGTTGAGAGCTTCCTATAAGGAGGCGATTCCAGAAACTCCCTCATCCTATCCAAGGACCTCGGTCTGTCAAGACGGCCCATAAAGGGTTATTTGTGACCCAGTTTGGACTCCTCTAAAAGAAGTCTAGTTATTGGGGAAGATAATGAGTCTAGGTTGAGCTAAAGAGTAGGGCCTACTATCCCACTGTGCTCAGCTTCAGAATCTGCAGTCTTCTAGAAAACACCGAAGTAGATATCTTTCTTTCCAATATTCACTGAGAACCCATTCATCAGAAAATATCCAATACTTACTTATTTGGTTGGGCATTATGATAGGTTAGAGACGGAGAGGAGTTCTTGGAGACCGGGTGTCATGAGGAGCACCTGAGTCTGTCTCCAAGGGTTGAGGACTATCTACAAAAAGACACTGAGGGTGGGGATGTAACCCAGTGGTAGACTTCTTGCCTAACATACATGAGACCTTAGGTTCAAACCCCAGCAAACAATAATGATGATAAAAACAGAAGACACTGAGTTTTCAAGAACAAGAATAGTGAGTCTTTTAGAACCAGCTGAGAAGAGGGGTGTAGTTATTTCAGGTAGAAAGAGTAAAAATATGATGTGTTGGAGAAATGGAGAGAAAATCAGTATGGCAAAGCCTTGGGAATTCAAGCAGAGAGGCTAGGGAGGGATGCAGGGATTGGGTTACATAAAGCCTTAGAGACCTCAATAAATGTGTGCTTTTCCCTAAGAACAATGGAGGAGCACTAAAGAATTTTCACTGGGGTTGTGACATGATAAGATCTGTATTTTCAAAATGAACCTTTTGAGTAGAGGAAGGCGAGGGGCTGAAGGAAGGGCACATGCACGTGGGAAGCCATTAGGAGCTGGTGATGTTTTCTGCTCAGATAGCTAACCAGAAAAGCAAATGAGAAATGTTTTATTTCGTGTTTTTTTTAGTGACATCTTGCATGGAGCTGCCTCCTTACAATGGATGGATTACCTACTGTTTATCGAGAACTCTTAGATAAGGCTTTTCATATCAGTAGGGTAACTGAAGCCAGAGATTTTGTCAGTAACAGGTCAGGGTTTGGGATCTTGAATTACCAGGCTATGGTTGTTTTCAAAGCTTGGTGGCTGTTCCCTCAATACACAGCCATGAAAACGAAAATGAATCTCTGTAGTATTTAGACATCATGGGTGCTGGGGAGAGAGAGTTGTTGACTTGGAGACCCTCCAAGCTGCCTCTGGATCTCACAAGGCCACGCTTTCCTTGGAGAGGTGTAGATTGTTTAGGGACCAAATCACATACATTCTGCCCCAGAGCCATAACATCTGACCTTAGGCTGGAAGAGGCTTTATGAAAGGCTTAGGAGTCCGGGTACCACCACAAAGAACCCACGTAGATTGCTCGGGTTAGAAGGTGGAAGAATGGAAGTGTGGAAATACAGAGAAGCATGGCTTAAGAGACAGAGGAGTATAGGGAGGGACAGGAGGAATGAGAGCTTAGTGAGCAGAAACAGAGAACGAGGGAGCAGTTCGGAGACTCTGAGCACTCGCGTGTTTAAGTGAGAATTGCTGTTATTCCACACACTTTATTCTACAGATCACCTACAAAGATTAGTTTTATGCTTACCCGCTGAATTCAATGTCTAGAAAAAGGTGCCATAAATGGATGGGCAGGAATATAGACAGGCAGCTGGGCTGCACTGTAAGGTGTCTGGATGATATGAACTTGTCCTTGTGGAACTTTAACATAACCTCATCCCAATGGGTGGAAGATGGACCCCTACTCATCTGGCCTAGGTCTTTCATGGACATTTTCTCAAAGCCTCCTACCTTAGCACGCCAAGGAATGCTCTGGAGTCTCCAATTGGAAGGAGGTAGCTGTCTGATGCTAGCTCACAAGCCTTCGGAATGGACCTGCCCTGCAAGTCCTGTCACTTTTCTCTTAGAAGACCATGGAGGCTAGTTGGTGACCCTTCCCCCACCAAAATCCTGAAGCCACTTTATTTCCCAGTGGGGAAATAAGGACGTTTCTCTTCAAATTATTATTATATGATTCTGGCTCTGTTACTCCAGTGCAGCCTGGACAGACTTTTCTGCATGTAAACAAGTCTCCTCCCTTCTCTACAGGAAGAAAGGGGTGTGGCTGGAGAGGACCATGGTGCCTCTGTCTTCCTAGGAAGGTCAGTGAGAAGGGTCCCCATCTCCATCTTCCTCATTAAACTAACCCCACCCTGAGAGTGCTCTGGTCTGAAATCAACCAGCAAAGAAAGGAAAACAGGAGGCCGTCAGGAGGACTGAGAGGGAGCAGAGAGCCACAGGAGTGGGATGAGACGTGAAAAAGTGCATTCACATAAGGGAAAACCTAAGATGAAGGGGACACAGGAAGGTGGCTGCTCCCAGCTGAGGTTGGGATTCTGGATTCAAATCAGAAGTAAAGAGTGTTGGGTTCTGGAAAAATGTATGAGACACCAGGGTTATTGTCACATAACCTGTGAGAGAGCATTTGTCTCTGAGAGTCTCCTGGGAGGTAAGGGGACTGTGTAAATGAGACAGATTTGAATTCTGAAGAAGAGAATAGGGTTGTGGGGTGTTTAAAGCTTTCAGACACAAGAGTTAAATGGAGGCTTTGGGGGTTCACTAGGGTTGGAGGCCAGAAGGAGGGGTGCAAGTCCAAGATGTGTGTGAGTGGTTAGGCCTGAGTAGGGTGGCCCCAAAGGGCTCTGGAAATACGTGGGTCCAGGGGTCAGGAGATCGTATATTCCAGAGCTGGAAGGTAGAATAAGTTTCCAAATTTCAGGGTTTGGGGTGTCTGAAGGGAGGGATGGTGGAGAGGTCCAGCTGAGAGGTGGGGATGGTTGGGATGTGAGAAGTGGCAAGGGATTTGGAGGTTAGAGTGAAGTACCTGTTAGGGAATCGGAGTGATGCTCAGAAAGCGCATGTCAAAGAGAAAATTCTGGGTCTGGGGCTCTGTGACCTGGGGAGGGGTCAGAGCTGAGGTGGGACAGGTACTGAACTGGGCTGGCTCTAAGGTAGGGCTGGGGTTGGGCCTGCGTTTGGGGCCGGGGTTGGGTTGGGCTGCGCTCTAATTGGATTGGGGCTGGGTTGGGCTGGGCTGGGCTGACCCCGCGCACCTTTGTGGAGGCCGGTGAGCCGGTCCTTCAGCACGGTCAGCTCGTAGATGCGGCCGAACTCCTCGAACAGCGGCTTGAGGTCCTGCTCGTCCAAGCCCCGCGGAATCTGCCCCACGAAGAGCTTGATGGCGTCGTGGTCCTTCATGGGCACCGCGGGACCAGGGTTCAGCCCGCTCATGCCGATGCCGCTGTCCGCGGTGCTGAAAGCCAGGCGCGGGCCGGGGCCGGAGGGCGGCGCAGACCCTCCGGGAGCCGCGGCCATATCCCCGCCCCGTCTGCCCTCCCGCGCGTCCCGCTTGTCCCGCCGTCCCTTCCCCGGACTGCTGGCGAGGGCCTGGGGGAGGGGGCGGGGCCCGGCTGCGAGGGCGGGGGGCTACTCAGGGGGCGGGGCCCGGCCGAGAGCGAGGGGCGGGGCGGGCTGGAAAGGGGCGTGGTCGAGGGCGGGGCGCCTGAGTCCGGCTGGAGTCCCCCCTCGGAGCTCTCTGGGCTCCCGCCCTAGCGAGCTAAACCCAACCCCGAACCCCAGCTCCCCCCTGACCCGCGCCCCGAGCTTAGTGACGTCAGACAGCTAGCCGGGCCAGTCTACGCAAGTGATTTGCATAATGAGATAGCGGTGGCCAATCAGAGCGGGAGTTGACTGAGCTGGGGCGGGGGCCGGGAGGGGCGGCTGGGCTCACGCGCTCCAGCTCTCCATGGCAACCGGACCCTCAGCTGCCCTGTATGTGGAGGGTGTGCGGGCGTGGCAGTGGATGGGAAGTAGCTTCGTCATGCGTGGCGATGTCTGCGGGAGTCAGAGCCGATCCCTTCCTGCACACCTCCAACAGCGAGACCGTTTTCTGCGGGGCGGATGGGGCTTCCAACTCTCTGTCCCTACTACCGAAACGCAACCCATCCTACAGGGCTCCACCACACACCTCTTTCGTTCGTTTCTTCAACCACTTCCTCGTTCCTGAGTATCAAATACACTCTCGTCTCTTGCATCCTAAAATAAGCCCCAAAGCACGGATTTCTTTCTCAGGAGAGCAAGAGAACTTATGTAGCCATATTTACTCAGCGCTCGTGCCTGGCCCCTCCTTATTCTGTTACTCAGGAGTGTTATCTTCTTTTCCTGAAAAGGATGCTGTGGGTCAAAGAAGTTAGGGCGTAGGTGCCCCTAGCATTTGCAGAGCCGAGGGCAAAAGAAGAAACGGAAATTGATAAATCGTGTGTGTTAATATCTAAACGCTATCTGTCAAATCACAATACTAAAGTGTTTACCTCCCTTTTCACAAGCGCACATTCATAAAGATGAAGAAACGGCGAGCTAGACAAACAGGCGAAGGGCCTTAATGAACAAGCTTGATATTCTGAGTTGGATACCCAGAACCCACATGGAAAAGCCAGATGCAGAGCCTCGCGTCTGTAATCCCAGCACTTCTGTGGCAAAGATGGGAGGAGGAAACGAGAATCATGAGAGCCATGTAGCAGAGGAACAGAAACAAGAGGGACCCTCAACAACATGGAACGAGAGAACCCACTCCTGAAAGTTGTCCTCTGATCTCAACAAGCATGTCTCCACATATGTGTTTCTTCTGCTGCGTGCACACACACACACACACACAGAGAGACGCGCACACACGAGTAAATTTGTAAACATTTTATGTGTATGAGAGTTTTGGCAGCACGCCTGCATGTATGCACAGCACGTGTGTGCCTAGTGCCTTCTGAGGCCAGAAGAAGGTGAATTGAACCCAGGTCCTTTGCAAGAGCAGCCAGGACTCTAACTGCTGAGCCATCTCTCCAAGTCCATGTTATTGTTTTAGAGACAGGCTCTCACGTCATCCAGGCTGGCCATGGACTCATTATTGAATTGAGTAGGACCTTGAACTACTGAGCTTCCTTTTCCACTTTCCAAGTTCTCAGGTCACTGGCACTCACTCTCACACTGGGCTGAAGATTTGTTAGCTTAGAAATCACATATTTTTAGTAGTTTGTGTGGGGTACATCTATTTTTCAAAATTGTGATTTCTTCTTGGTGGAGCAACTTTTTCTTTTTCCGACAGGATCTTGTCACATAGTCCAGGCTAGCCTCAAACTCATGATTCTCTCCTGCTGCAACTTTCCAGAGCTAAGAATGCAGGCGTGGACTACCATACCCAGCCCTGAACTGATCCCTGCGAGGAGACAAGTACCTGACCACTGAGGTGTGCCTTCCAGCACCATAGCTACATTTAAAGCAGGTAACTTTAAAAATACATATGATTGGGTCTTTTGAATTTAAAAGTGTTTTATTTGTTTTGTGACAAATTGAAAATTAAATACTGGCAACACTCCACATTGTTCTCTTTTGATATCGTGGTATGTACTCTTTTTTTCTTTAGATATAAACTTTAGAATCAACTTTTCAACACTCATTGTACTAGTTGGCTTTCTATTGCCAAGATGAAAACCATGGTCCAAAACAACTTTGGAGGAAAAGGGTTTATTTCAGCTCCCATCTCCTAGGTCACAAGTCATCCATCACTGAAGGAAGTCAGAGCAGAAACCCCGGGTCGTGGTCCTGAAGGGCATAGAAGCCCTCCTGAACCGGGCGGTGGTGGTGCACACCTTTAATTTGAGCTCTCTTGGGAAGCAGAGGCAGGTGGATCTCTGTGAGTTTGAGGCCAGCCTGGTCTACAGAGTCAGTTCCAGTACGGGCTCCATAGTTGAGAAACCCTGTCTTGAAAAACCAACAAAAAAGCAGGGTGGTGGTGGTTTAATCCCAGCTCTCAGGAGATAGTTGCAGGCAGATCTCTGTGAGTTCGAGGCCAACCTGGTCTACAAGAGCTAGTTCCAGGACAGCTAGGGCTGTGACACAGAAGAGACCCTGTCTCGAAAGACCAAAACCAAACAAACAAACAGAGCAGGAACCCTGTGAGGATACTGTTTACTGCCTTGCTCCCACTGCTTGCTTAGCAAGCTCTCTATGCTGTCCAGGCCCACCTGCTAGGGAAGAAGATGCTGCCTACAATGGGCTGGACCCTCCCACGTCACTGAAATGACTAGAGACCGACCAATCTGATGAGAGAAATTCAATGAGGCTACCTCTTCCCAGGTGACTCTAGTTTGTGTTAAGATGACAATCACCACACCCATAAAATGGCTTCCTGGAACTCTGACGAGGTTTGCGTTGCTATAACCACATTGGAAGAAAAAAATGAAACAAACCTGTTCTTGCGGCCCTTGGAGGAGATGGCCTGGGGATAAAGGTACTCGTCATCAAGTCTGATAACCTGAGTTCTTCGCTAGAACCCACATGGAGGATTCTTCCCTAGAATCCCACAGTGGTCCTCTGACCTCCACACATATGCAATGTGACATGTACATACATTCACCCACATGCATGTGCATACACACACTGTTTAAAAATGTTATTGTAACAATTTTGACTCTTCCTATTCACAAACATGAGAAATCTCTATTTATTTGCCTCTTTTTTTCATTTCTTCATTCAAGAGTGGTGGGTGTATTTTTCCTTTCTTAAATATGTCACACCATTCTAGCCCTTGTTCCTCTGCAGGTGAATGGGATATTTCCTCTGGCTTGTCTCCTGACCCCAGTTCTCCAAGTTTTTGGTTTTTTGTAGTTTGAATATGATATGCTAAGATGAGCGCTGGTTGTTATCTAGTGTGTTTATGCTGCTGCGCCCTCGTCGAGGTTCCTGAATCTTCGATTTGTTGTCTGCCACTAATTTTGGGAAATTCTTTATCATTATTACCTCATTAATATTCTCTTTATGTGCCTGGATGCTTCTTATTATGTGATAGGCATTGTGTTGGAAAAATATTTTTAGAAATAATTGGAGGTTGGGGGAGGTTAGGATTTTCTTCTCCAGAATGAACTTACATTTGTTTCTGGAAGGCATCCAGAATCTCTATCAGTTTGAGATAATCAAACTAAATTTTAGTGATTAAGATGACTCAAAGCTGAGCTGTCGTCTCCAGAGCGATTGATCTATGTCCAACTCACTCAATCTTTGGGACTTTTGAGTAGAGAGTTTTTTAGGGTGTGTGTGTGGGGGGGTGTGCACTCATATGCATGTGCAGGTGGGTGCACCCCTGTATGTGCATGCAGAGGCCAACAGAGGATGTCATGTGTCCTGCTCTATCCTTGTTACCTTGAGACAGGTTTCTCATTGACTCTTGCCCTACATTGGCAGCAGGGAAGCCCAGTGATTCGCTTGTCCCCAATTCCTCCACAGTCTGGGATTATAACCATGTCTATGGCCATGACTAGCCCTTAAAACAAACAAGCATGGGTGCTGGGGATCCCCACTCAGGTCCTCATGCTTGTACAGCAGGCCCTTCTATCCACTGAGATAGATATCTCCCCAACTCCAGAGGATGTTTTATGAACCTGAGATTACAACTTCTAATTCCCATCCCTAAGGCATTATATAAAGTGTTTTCCAGAAAATGCTTATCCAGAATTGGCAGTTGTGCCCAGAGTGGAACATTGTCCCAAATGCCAGGCTTTTAATGCTGGATCTTGGTCTTTCTCAGATCTCCTCTGAGTCATTTCTCACAGCGTTTCATCACGCTAGTGTTTCCCAGCCTTTCCAACCATCTCCAGGGGCAGACCTGTTCCCAGTCACCTACTCTATAAAGATGAGAGGTAATAGGCTTATATATATATTTTTTTAATTTTTAAAATTTTCTTTTTCTTTTTCTTATGCATATGGATGTTTTGCCTGCATGAATGTCCATGTACCACAAGCGTGTCTGGCATCTTTGGAAACCAGGAGAGATCTTTGGGTTCCCTGGGACTGGAGTTACAGACAGTTGTTAGCAACCATTTGGACGCTGGGAATTAAACCCAGGTCCTCTGAAAGAACAGCCAGTACTATGAACCTCTAAACTATCTCCCCAACCTCAAGGCTTAAATTTTGAAAGTTGTTTACCTTTTAAATCCTGGATTAAGGTGTGTATGTATGTATTTATATTAAGGTGTGTATGGATGTATTTATATTAAGGTGTGTATGGATGGATTTATATTAAGATGTGTATGGATGGATTTATATTAAGATGTGTATGGATGTATATTTTGCTTAAATTTCTAGAAGCTCAAGGTGTTTGAACCAGGTATTAGCACAGAGTCGAGGTGGTTGAGATTTTTAAGTTCTCTTCTTACTTCAGTGAAGATGCAGTTTAAGTCTTGTTTTTAAATTCATCTTTTTGTTCTATGTTATTTTCATAGGAGAAGTAGCAAGACTAAACGATGGTTTCTAACATTATTCCACAAGAA